AATAAATAGTAATTTATTGTGTTTGCCAACTTTTCGACTGTTGTAGGTCTTCTTCTGGGCTAAAAAAGAGATAAAAATAAAAATATTAATTACTACAATTGGTATGGTAGGTTTTATTTTAATTCTTAACATACTTATCTTTTAACTGTTTACCATGTTATCCTGTTATTTTATCTTAATAGTTCATTACCGTTATCAAATAAAGTTAATCTCATTTATATATTCTGTACCATTCTACATCATTACAACTTTTTTTTACATTTAGCATACATGCTAAATTCATTTTTTATTTTTAATCACTTAGATAATTACTTGACACTGATAATATATCATCTAGTATAGTGTATGATATACATACATTGTATTTCTAACGATGCTATAATACATTTTAACATTTTTGTTATCTTTGAGTTTCTTCAATTTTTCATCTGATAACCTGTACTAGTTTAATACCAAATGATGTTTGTTTACTTTGTTTTTTGGATATAAAAAACTTCCAAATATATAACAAGTAGTTTATATGCTATAATTCATTCCAAATTTCCAAGTTGATGTTTTTGGAAATTGTTCCCATCTTCAAAACTTTATTTCCATCTTTCATAAGCCATTAATAGCTAAAATCTCGTGTGTTCCTTTTGTCATAATTTAAAGTTTTTGCATTATATACAAAAACAAAAATAATATCAGGAGCATCACATTAATGTGTGTCTGCTAGCTACTTGGGGATGTTATTGAGGTTATTAATTGCATATGAAAGATGAAAATAAAGTCTTATTATAAACAATTTGTTATATATTTGCTAGGTCTTTATTGCCAAAAATAAAGAAAATTAATCAGCTTCCTGACAAAAAATAAGAAAATAAGTATTTTTTTTTAATATGCTTACCTTGAACCAATTAATATTCATAGTTTGGATCTTTTTTTAGTCCTGGTGAAGACCTATAACGCAGGTCGAAACGTTTGCAAAAACAATAAAATACTATTATATATTATATAATACAAATAAAATTTATTTTGATATTTGCCGACGTTTCGACTCGAAGTTCAGGCCTTCGTCAGGGCTGAGAAAAGAACCAGTTAACAATAGGTATGTGAAACATAAACAACTTAGTTAAAAAAACCAAAATAAAAAGATTAAAGTAAAATAAAGTAGGTAGGATAACATCGACCGCACCCCTGACCAACTTCTTTTCAAATAATAATTATTGTCTACCATTATGTTTATAATTATTATAGACTAATTTAGAAATATGAAATAGAGAAGGATTCCATTTCTAGAGGCTGTGAAAAATAGATAAATAAAATTATAAATTATTTAGAATTTGTAAATTTATAATCTAAGTAGAAAGCATCAATCAAGTCATTGAATAAATTGGAATAAAATAATAAACCTGTACCACTACAACCCATGAAGGGTATTGGGTTCAGTACTATTTAGGTAAAACACTGTTTCTTGGTCTACGGCTGTGTAAGGAGGTGATTTGACCGATATCTCTCTCAACCGCCAGGTTTTTTTCCTTAATTAATTATTTTAATTAAGGATAAACACTTTATAGAGGCTGGGTGTGCCCCCAGAAGAGCCTATCTTCCAAGGGTGGCCACACAGCCAATGAAACGGAATAAATATTTTTTCTGCCATGAGCCGGGATTCGAACCTGGGAATGTTAGCATTGAAAGCTCAGTACCCTACCACTGAGGCAATAAAATAATTAATAAAGGAAGGAGATGGTCCGGATTGGCGGTCATAAAAAGGCCAAATAGTGGTTAAAATATTTTTATGTTAAATTAAAATAAAAGCCAGGCTTTTAATAAAATAGTTTTGCAACTATTTAGCCTATTTATGACCGCCACTCCGGACCATCTCCTCCCTTTATAATGCAATGGTCAACTATTAAATATTCAAAATAATTTATAAAATATTTTGAATTCAATACTTTACTGTTGTTTAGCTACTCTATCACTATTACTATTCTCCTTAAACGTGGCAGAATGTAATAATTCTCATTGAAGAATTGAATTAAAAAAAATTCTTTAATATCTGACCATCTCTTCACTCTCTGTATATACACTGTCAAATTATTAAATATGCAACAAAAATAAATTTTAACTAATGAAATTTATTGTATAGCGTTATTCAATTAGTTAATTAAATGAGCTAATAAATACAAATTTAATGCATATTCTTCAGTGAAGCTTTCTTTTATTGTGTAGGTTTACAAACCTAACCAAAACTAAAATATAATATTTTACAGTCTGATGGATAGTTGTAAATTTTAAATAATTAAAGTGTTCTATATCTAGTACAAAAAAGAAGGAAAAACGGTTTATGCTCTTCATGGAATTTTACGCCTTATCTAGTCCTTAAATCCAATTGTTTGTATAGAAACTACACTTAAATAACATTGGACCCGAGATATTAACTTTAATTGATTATATTAGGATTTCAACAAGTCAACTTAACAACAAAGAATTCTTATATTTTCGCTTTGCAAGTATTTTTTAATTAAATAGTATAATTTAGCTGATAAAATGAAAGCAACTGACATTATAAACTATTAAAGGAAACTTTTTAATTTTTATTTTTATTTCTCTACTAAGTGGTCTGTATGTTTTGATAGATTTTATAGTACCTTATTTTTTTCTATTTAAATCTATTAATTTGATTATATAACTTCATATTCCTTTTCTCTGTTTTACATTTTTATTCATCCCTCCGAGGCGTCTGAAAAGAAGATGTCCCCGTGATCTACTAATGTAGACATATCATTAGAGTGCTACCATGGGGTAGTTCCTCAACAAGTGTTTTCACCTCATTATATCCATATGTTCAAATTTACTAAATGTATTTCTTTAATAGAGTTGTAAATATCATTAAGAAATAAATAAATAAAAAAAATGTATTCTTTGTCTATCTCACTTACTTTTATCATTTAAAGACACCATATTTTAGCAACTGCGTCACCCCATTCATTCTATTTCTAATACCTACGTTTCATCTCATAATATTTCATTGCATTTTTTCGTTAATTAATTTTTATTCCTTTTTTTTACATAATTTCATTAAGTCTATTTTATCAGTCTCCATTTGTGTTTATTTAAACAAGTAAACAAGTTTATTTCATTAATTCCCAACTTTTACATACAGTGTGAATGTGATCTATGAACAGTATTATAAATTTTCTTTGAGACAGATTGTAATATTTTCTATAAAAATTTCCAACTTTCTTGCCGTTGTTATATATTTCATAAGTTTCTCTCTATAACAGTTATTAATTTTTTTTTCAAATGTTCCCTAACATTATTGTTATAAATATTATTTGTATTTATTCTATTTTTTCCATGAGTTAATAGTTTCTCAAACCTATTATTATCTGGTATTTTCCTAGTCCTGATGAAGACTTGAACTTAAAAGGCCGAAAACTCGGAAAATACAAAAATAATTCCATTCATTGTTCATTAAAGTAAATTATGATTTCGAAATATATGCTTGTAATTGCAAGAGATTTTGTATCTAATTTTTAATTTTAAAAATCAGGCTAGGAATGAAATACAAAGTTAGTTTTTCCTAGAAGGATTTTCAGGGTATTTTTATTTTTAATTTCTTGTACATACATTTTTGTTACATATTAAAAATGTTGTTATTAATTTTTCAACACCAAATAATATTATCCATTTTCATTTTTATTCAACTTCACTTAATATTCATTTTCAAATTATTTCTTTTTAGAGAAATAAATATGTCTCATTAGTTTGATATTAATTTATTTAGCCACATTAACTGGACAGTAAATATTGTCAAAAAAATTACTGAGTCCTGATTGTTTACCAGCAGCTATAATGCCCGATGTGAATCGGAAAAAAAACTGTCCTAATAACCTGAGCGGGTTTTACAAAAGAAAATAACAAAAAAACTCATATCTTCTAATCCCCTTTTTATTTATTTTTTTTTTTTGTGGATAATTACAAATAAACAAAAATTAACCGATAAGCATTAATTTATACTATTCGGTTTTCGAAGTCTTATTTTAATAAATGTTCGAAAATATCAACATTAACTTGTATACATATTCAGGTTGTTCTCTAAATGGCGACAGTTCTCGACCCGATTATTTATTATTTTTCTTTTAAATTATGCACTTAACAATTTTGATACGTTGAATTAGTTCCTCCCGAGCTTCTACTTTTATTTTGAACCAGCTCCATAAAGAATGCAGTACTCGAGATCTGGAGTTCATGGATATCAACAAATTGAACCACCGTGACCAATCCAACGATCTGGAAACATTTTATTCTATTTTTTATGAGTGAATAGATATTTTCGAACATTTATTAAGACATGACTTCGATTAACGACATGCTAATACAAGTATGGAATATCGTTTATATGTCAAATTTAGTTTATAAGTAAATAACCGATAAATAAAAAAAAAAAAAATGAAAATAGAATAGGATCCTATGAGTTTTATTTTTATGTGAAGACTTCTTTAGGCACGTTTTGCACTTTTTTTGTGGAGAGTGAAGTAGATTTCCGGTGTGTAATGAGCTATTGTTCAAAATTTTATCTTAACGCGACGCCGTGTTAGAGATGCCAAAAGAGAAACTGTTGAAAACCAAATTATAACGACTTTTATTGATGATAAAAGTCGATTAAAATATCTCAGGAACTAAAAATCGGACCTGCGTACTGAAAGCGAGGGAAAAGTTCAATATTATATCTTTTATCATCAATCAATTTTAAATAATAATTTATAATTTATATTTCGAATTATTAATCTCTCCTTGTTGTTATGTTTTCGTTTCTATCGTATGGCCTAAAGCACACACCTTAGTTGTTTTTATAATTATTTTCTTGTGTGGAACCCAGTTCTGGAGTTTGGCCCGTAATGGTGTATAGTTCAGTCGACTGGTCAGCATAATATGTTCATTAAAATATTGTATATATTATTTTATCGAGTGCAGTGGAATTAGTTATTGATACGTATACATATAGGATATAGTAGGTAAATCTTCAGTTTAGGCAGTGGAACATGGCGGAAGCTGTGCAATCATGGATCGATTTTAAAAATGCTCACCGAAGCGCTAGCGGTTATTGGTCTCCCCCCACCAACAGTAGGCAGGGCAGTAGGCAGGCCATCCTGCATTTGGCTTTATCTGTATTTATTCATTCCTTTTTTTTTTTAGTTTTTGTGATTGAAGATTCGTTTAGATATTTTAGAAATGGTTACGAGTTGTTCTGCATATAATTGCAGCAGTAGGCATAAGAAGGAAAGTGGAATATCATTTTACACGTAAGTAAAACTAAATAATAAGCGCGTTTAATTTATTTATTTAATTTTTTTTCGACCCATCTTATGGGCTGGTTACCAATTGTTGAAATATTCAATGAAATAAAATTCAAATATTACATAATATAAAATAGCTTAAGAAATATATTTTTAGCGGGGAGGGAGAGGAGATGACGTCGTTGCCCGGGGGCGCCGAATGCTTGCAAGCTTATTTTTTCCATGGTATTAAGCTTTAAGTTGCATTTGCTATAATCTATTTAATGAACTCCTATTTAATAATTAAGGGCTGTATAATAATTTCGATATCCTTCATAAATAAATTAACGTGAGTCAAGGAAAGATAATAAATTTTTTATGTTAAAACGTATATGAACAAAACCTATTAAATTAGCTTACTAAGAATAATTATTTGAGAAGTACTATCGTTCACCCAGACTGAGCAATAAACGTTTTTAAGCGTATTGAAAATAAAAGTCCAAACTTTAAATTCAAACAAATCAGAAGGAAGGAGGGACAGAATTTTTAAATACTAAAAGTTGAAAGAGTAGGGTAATTTCACATAATAGTTCGTTCTTTAGATATAATGAAAACAGCAGTTTTACCAATAAAAATGGTTTATTTTTTTCGTTGTTTTTTTTTCTTCTCTTTCTTCATATTTTTTCTTTCAGTACTTGTAATATTTATTTCTTTTTATGTTTTTTCACACAAAATAAAAAAAAAATCATTATTGAGGCTTGATGGGTTGACTGCCGTGAATAATGAAGAGAAAGATGGTTGGGGTGATCAGTCAGAAATAAAATGGCAAAAATAAATAATAATATTAATTTTAACATTTGCCGACGTTTCGACCTGAAGTTCAGACCTTCATCAGGGCTGTTCGAAGAGATTGCTTGAATAGAGTCACCACACTTCAGGCCGAACCGTCGGCGAATGTTAAAATAAATATTATTATTTATTTTTGCCATTTTATTTCTGACTGATCACCCCAACCATCCTTCTCCTCGTGTGGAATGAAATCTTTTGAATTTATCGTCCTCCCGTAGAATTACTAAGAAAGAAAAAAAAAGTTATATAACTTCGTATCTTCTTTTATTTAAATTGGATTATTAGATTATTTTGACTTAATTAAATAGATAATATTATAATTCTGATATAATAATTATGAACTTTGATGCAACTTGCTAATTCTTATATAATTCTTGCTTTGTCCCTAATTTATACCTTTCAGTGCCTTTATAAGTTTTATTGAATGTTTTCCGTGACATCATGATTTGTCTAACGACATATTGAAACTTTCCAGTTTCCCTCGAGATCCAGTGATGAGGAAAAAATGGATTATAGCGATGAAAAGGAAAAATTTCGAACCTACGTATAGCAGCCGAGTTTGCAGTAAACACTTTACCCCTGACCAGTATCAAATACGTCCCAATTGCAATTTTGAACTACTTAAACCTGATTCAGTACCTTCTGTATTCGAGTTTTCGTCTGAGCTTACACACCCGTCATGCCGAAAAAAAGAATTGATTAACGGAGCACAGGTAACTATGCTTATTGCATTTACATTCTAAATTACATGAAAAATCGTCATTATATCGATAAAATTATTAATAATTAGTCTATATGAAATGTTTAAACACCAGATCGAAAAAATAAGGAGTTAATTAGATTTTTAACGGGGGCTATTGGAATTGGTGGGGCAACGCAACGACCATTAAATCGAACGCGTTAGCGAATGAAGATTCCCTAAGTGTCGATACTCTCTTCTGATAATACCGGCGACAGCTTTTGCTAATAATACGAGTTATTAACATTTTTCGTAGGGTGAACACACCAGTTATGGACATTGGAGCGAGTGATGGACTGGTTACACTTTAAATGTAAATAATAAGCTTTCTTATTGATTTATAGGTTCCAGTTTTTTTCTAGATTGAAGAACAATGCCCTCTCCGGGGGGGGGGAGGGGGTGCCGATCTCCTCCATGATCGATGGCGCAAGAACCTACCCTCTCCCCCATCTACCTATGTATTTTATTGCTCACTTCTTCTGAAAAACAGAGCAAGCTAAGGTACAATTAGAAAAATCGTTGATCATATATCATACTTGCTGTGTTATGTTCCACGCATGTTTTTTCTCTTGTCTCTTACTCCGAAAATTCATAACCCCGTCGAACTTTGTCGCCATAAAAAATTTTGATGGCAGAACTTGCGCCATGAAACCTCCTTCTGGGATTCGTGACTGTATTAATACCAAAAGAAAATTTTAAAATGCTTATCATTGTCATTTCTATAGTTGAAATCAGTTTGTTCCATACCTTCGTACTAACAGTTTTGCTACTACCAAGAGTAAGTTGGACATTTATGTTATGTTATCTTTATCTTTATCCTTGTAATTAATAAAGATTTTAGAATTTTTCTGAGGTATGTCTATTACTGGTACCGACTCTCTGTCCATGACTAGAACAATTGAATTTCTGGGTGTCCATCACCGGTGCAAAAAGGTGTTTTTTTTTTTAAATGGGGATTATTTCAGGATAACCGAATTTGTTTCAATTTTAAAGTGTTAAATGGAAAAAGGAGACTCTTGAGATTCTAAATACGGCATAGGCCGAAAAAGACGAAAACGTCCTAAGCTATGTCCATCTCTTTTTGTAGATCACATTTATTTCTCCATTTTGTGGTCAAATTATCTTCATATTCAAGAGGTGAAATGGGTATTTATCAGTTTTTAGCACCTCATCAAATTAATTAATTTAATAAGAATACTCCCCTTTTCTGAGAATTTTCGTAGATAACAAATATTTTAGATTACGATGATATCAAACCATTCGCGAACTTTTAGGCCGATGTTAATAATTTGACAATAAGGAGCCTGTACCATAGATAAATATTAATACCACAACTCTTGGTGTTAATGACATCTAACATCCGGGTTCGCAAAGCATTATTGCTTCCTCACTACCGAAGGTAGGGAAGCATTGTGTTCGTGCGAGAGATTAAAAAAAAATGTTTGCTCAGAATCGAAAATTTTCACCGCGTTTTACGTTTTAGACATCAAGGATCAAATTTGGTTCGGTGTCTGTCTGTTGTCAAATCGATGTGACTGGCATATTACCTATTACCGTTCATCCTATCTTCATGAAATTTTCAGGGATTATGATGATTGGTGCCTAGATGGTCCCATATCAATTTTATCAAATTCCATCCAGCACTTCCGCTTACGCACGTGCCAACGTATTTTTTAGATATGCCAACATTTCAGAAAGGGCTCGTTCGATTTGGCTCAAAGTTAGATAAAAGGTAGACTTTGGTGAAAAAATAACGTAGTGTCAATTTTTTTTTTATAATGAACTTTATATTCATCTTGAAAATATGTTCTTGATAGTAATTTTCATTTCTTTCAAAGGTACACATATTTATATAAAAATGATTTTTTAATTGTAGCCTCATGAATCAGGACTCAGAAACCATGAGGTCCCCTTGGCAAAAGTTGCTGGCACAGCGCCAACGACTCCAACACAGTTGCACGTATTGTGTATCAGCGCCAAATTTAGCGTCAGCAATTTAGTGCGCTGGGATCCTAAATTTTATTCAGGGTCACATGCCGATGGCATTAGACATTTAATTGGTCAAAGAGTTATGTAGTCACACCTTCCACTTTTTTTTTCTTTATCGAGCAGAGGAATTATGATAATGACTGAAAAAGTTTTTTTTTTTCAGAACATCATTCAATGCGCGGGTTTTATGGCTAGAGTAGAATTTATTTAGACACCACTGTTTTCAAAAATCCATCTTCAATTTTTCATTTATTCAATTTGATTTAACCAACTTATTAAAAACCTAAATGTATAGACGTTATTAATTATAAATAGATGTAAATTCACTGGGTATAACTTGTAATTCACTATTTATTTAGTGTTCAAAATGAAATTATATTAATTAATAAATTACATATTTTTCAATAATTGTTGGTTTAATTTAGTATTTTGCTTTTGTACGTTTTGCTTCCTCACTACCGAAGTTTGTAAGTATAATCGAAAATTTCCACTCGCGTTTTACGTTTCAGACATCATGGATCAAATTTGGTTCAGTGTCTGTCTGTCGGTCTATCTGTAGTCAAATTGATGTGACGGGCATATCATCTAGTACCGTTCATCCGATTTTCATGAAATTTTTATGAAGGGATTATGCGGATTAGTGTCTAGATGTTACAATATCAATTTTATCAAATTCCATCCAGCACTTCCGCTTACACACGTGCAAACGTATTTTTTGGATATGCTAATATTTCAGAAATGGCTCGTTCGATTTGGCTCAAGGTTAGATAAAAGGTAGCTGGTGGTGAAAAAATTACGTAATGCCAATTGTATTGAATTCTGTCCACTAATTTCTCGTATATATGCGCAAACGTGTTTTCCTTGACGTGTCTATATCCCTAAAACCGCATGTTCTATTTGGCTCAAATTTGGAGTGAAGTTAGGGATTGGTAAACGGATAATTAAGTAGGTATGGATTTTATCGGATTCTATCCACGAAAAAATACTTTCGCTTTCGGATCAGCAAACGTATTATTTGCCAAGCCTATAGTTTGAAAACTATTCAATTTGACCCAAACATGGTGGAAATTTGGAGAATAGTATAGAAATTTCCTAATATGTATTTCATTGAATTCCATTTGATAATTTTATTATTATAAATAATTGTTAACAATATAATGGCTGTGAAATATGAAAGGAATTGATCATATGGAGTGCGAGATAGGTTATGCCAATATTTTTATGGGGTTATAAAATTTTAGGAGTTAATTTGTACTTTATTGCTTTGTCGATTCCAAACGTTACTTAGATTTCGTGTAATTTTCGATAAATTTAAATTAATCTGAAAAATGAAAAATATTATTTGTGATTGTGTTTATTTCTATTGAAGTTAAACCAGCTAGTCGTGTTATCGAGTTTATGTGTGATTTTTACATATATTTTATATTCCAGCTTAAATAGTTTTGTTCTGACTGAAGTAGTAGTAAGAAAAGTATTGGTCTCGTTAACTCTGAAAAAACAAATATATTAGTTTTTCTTATTTCTTTTATGGAATTTTTGTAACAGATTTTACGAGTGAAAACATGCCGATTAAGTACATATTACTACTGTTAGTGGAAAAGGTCGTAAGCATTCTGTTACGATGAAAAATAGCAGAGGGCAATAAATTATACCAATAAATCATAACGAAACAATTTGTTTTTATGCTTTCCTGCAAAACACTCAATGTTTACATACGACTTTTTGCACTAACATATTCATGTTCAGTACGCACTCGATTTTTTTTTTGTAATCCGAAGTCATCAAATATGCAATCTGCCTATGCGGAACCTTTTCGCATTTTATTATACGCTGATGAACAAAACTCGTGGATATCAAATCAGTATATGTTGAGAGATTACTGAATTTCCGAAACGGCTTCTCTCAGAGATTTTATTCTCATGCGAAAACTTTTAAACCTTGTAAGATAGATGTTTTTTAGCCAATGCAAACGGTGACTGACGTTTTATTTTTATTCGCTCGTTCTTTGCTCCGTTTGGAACTGTGCAGCAGTGCATGTAGCATATTTCTATTATGATTATTTTGTGCACATTTCATGCTGCAGAGGATTATATCTGAAGATTTGCACATGAGAAGAGTTACAGGCAAATCTGTCCCTCGCTTTCCCACAAGCAAGAAAAGAAAGTGTTTGAAATATATCATGGCATGTTAACAATGGTTCGCAAAATTTTTGATTAGGGTGTTTCGTTTATGCGTATTTTCTTAGCTGAACCATAAAGTTCTGAGCCGTGTGTCCAAATTGGTCTCAGTATGTAGAATATTCACTTTTTTCGAAAGTTATGTGAGGATTGATCTGTAGTCCAGAAGATGTCATAAGTGTGAATGTACGCTATGATTGTATGGTCTCGTCACTTCTTTTTTTTTATAATTTCGTATGTATATTTCAAGTAATATTTGTACTTGATGAAGTGTGATCTGGTTGTTCATCATTTTAGTATCTAAAAATTATGTTTTAGAAAAATATTTTGCATACCTATTTTTTTCCACTGTAGTCGTAAACATATATACAATGGTTCAATACCCAAACATTCTATTAATGATAATGCTATTAAGCTGGATAGAAGAAATTGATAATTGAAAGTTCATTATTTATTTTGATGGTTGTTGAATATGTACTTAAATAGTGAATATGGTGATTAAGCATCTCCCAAAACTTATTAATATAAATAAAAATGCCTAAAACTACAAATGCTTTCTAAAGGAAGGAGATGGTCCGGAGTGGTGGTCATAAATAGGCTAAATAGTGGCAAAACTGTTTTATTGAAACCAACGTTTCGACCCGACTTTGTAGGTCTTCTTCAGGGCTAGAACGGACAAGATACAAAAAGATAGAGAATTGTGGAAGTTACATAATATTTAGTCAAAAATTATAAACAATCTGAATAGGCTTATTGAAATTATGAACAGTAAGTATAATAAAATATAAATAGAGTAAGCCAAATAACAAGATCCTAAACTGAAGTAAAGAGATGGTAACAATTGTTGTAGTGTAATATATAATACTAGTAAGCCCGTGCGAAAAATTCGCACAGAATATTGTTATCAAATGCCAGATTAATAATAAAAGAAAATAATGCAACGTATCAAAAGATAAAGAAATCAAATGTTACTTTATCGATAAATATAATCGACAAAGAAAACAAAAATTAATTTAAATCTTCATTTTTGTTTGGAACCAACATGTTTACAAATTTCAGTAAGCTGTATCTTTGCTAATAATTGTCCGATTTCAATGATTATTTTTTCCTTTTTGTAGGGAATTAAGTAATCTTTTATATAATCACGAGCATAACGAAGGGAAAAGTGTGTAATTTTTTAGTCATTCGCAAATAAAGTTTGTTTTCTTTTATAACTTGTTTGCCTGATTTTTCGGGGGTGATTGGACTATTTTGTCCGCCTGAAGGAGAAGGAAGCCTTCGAAATTGGTGGCTCAATCTTGAGATTTGGTGAAAAATTGACGATGATATGGCTTGCCGATCAAAAACACCATCGATAAATAATATAAACTCCTCCTCTCTCGGTCACAGAGACCTCAAGTCGACGAAATGAGACTTGTATTCAATGACCGTACTACAATTAATGTAAATTTGTGTCGATGAGAACCTTATGCCTTGCGTTATCTCGAAAATAGTACGTTTTTGGGCTTAAAAATCATATCCAAATCTTCATAATCATTAAAAATATTCAAAATCATCAAAATCTTCTAGATGCATTTTGTCCCGTATCGATCTACAGACCTACCACTTCTCAGGTATTGAAGCCTAGCAAAATGTTTGTATCGACTTTATTTATTTTAGAAAGAAAAACAAAAGTGGAGAATGCGATTCGCTAAACCCCTGTGAAATTCTGAATCCAACGGTACCCCATTCATGGTATTTGAGCATGACAGGAGCTTGTATTTGGTACATAACCAATTTCGACCCTTACTGTAATAATATATGTATGGATATGCAAATGTGAATATACTTCTACAGATCTAGACTATTAAATATTCAATACAAATCCTTTATTAAATTTGACCAATAGGCGAGGATGTGGAGAAAAAGTAAAAAAATATTGACATTACTGGCTTCAATTTCATATATCTCTCTTATTATTGAATCTCATATATTATTACTAAGAACTGCATAAGAACTAACTGCATACTTATCTCAATTACCAGCTGGGCCATGTTTGTTAAAATGCAAATACTCCAACCATTTAAAATGTTTGAATCAAATTCTTTTTAAATAATTAATTATATATTATAATTCAGGGTACAGGTGCCCTTGTCGAGATATTTTTAAGCCGTGTAGTAATGCGTGTGAAAAAATAGAAAGAGGCGGAACAGCTGTGAGGTATGAGCGGCCTACTTTGCCCTGACAAGGACGATAAATTGTAGCCTGCAGTGTTGCCAGTGCTCCTCTCGGGGACTTTCTCTTGCAACACTGCTCGGTGGGAATTTCGTTGTTTTTTTTTTTGGCATTTTGAATTCATTCATGAGTAAAATATTAACTTTTTTAACTTTTATTATGATATTTACAACTGTATTAGTGTGAATACATCAAGTAAATGTGTACAGAGGAATATAATCACATGAAACACGCTTGTTGAGAAACTACCCATTGGTAGCACTCTAAGAGTTTTATTTATTTATTTATTTATAAGATATTTACAACTGTATACAAAAAATACATCTGGTAAATTCGCACATGGATATAAAGACATGAAATACATGTTGAGAAACTACCCATTGGTAGCACTCCATCACTCTAACAGTAATTTTTTTTAATTTTTTTTATTTTATTTCTTAAAGACATTTACAACTGTATTAAATAAATACATCTAGTAAATTAGAACATAATGTATATAATGACATGAAAAACACTTGCTGAGTAACTACCCAATGGTAGCACTCTAATGATATGTTTACATTAGGAGATCACGGGGCCATCTTCTTTTCAGACGCCTCGGAGGGTTATCAGGAATTGAAGAGGAAGCAAGGTTAGAAACGAGAGGGTTGGGATGATTCTGAAGTTTATTATGAAAGGATAGGTATCTGGATTGGGC